TGCTTTGCAAGGAAACTGCTCAATTTACAAATATGATTGGCTAAAATCAATATTGAATCAATATTTTCCCGTTTAGACCAGCATCTAAATCGCTCAACAACCTTTTACTTTTGCTGTCGGAGAACTGCAAACAAAAAACATACAATATTATTTGGCTTGTTTCTGCTAGAAATACTAAATGGAAGAACCCAAAAGTTGAAGAGAAAAAAAGTTAATAAAACGAGCAAACTTTGATAAATGAAAGTTCAACTCAAGCAATCAAAACACCAGCTGAAAACGAAATTGAGAAGTTTTTGCCAGCATACTCCAGAAGTAAAAAGTACTCTATACAAAACTAGGAGTGACTTGAATGCCTGGAAGAAATTTTTTTAGACAATAAAAGAAACTAGATAAGTCGAAACACGCCTGTCAATGAGTTCCACCTTCTTCTGACAAAATTTTTTATTCCAGTTGAAAGCAAAATGGTAGCGACTGCAAACTGGTTAATTCAAGTAACTTTCAGCGAATTGTTTCAGTTTTCTTGTTCAGCCAATTTGTAATGAAATCTTATTTACCGAGCTTAGTCGCTCTGTATGGGAGAATCTTGACCGAGGTCAAAGATTCTCCCATACGTGTACAAACCGTCCGCACGGTTATTAAGAACTAAATAAAATTGAGCACGAAACCTCAAAATATTGTTTTAATTGTTTTACGAATTGAAATGAAATGCTAGGAATGGATGTTGTTTTATATATTTTGGAACTTGCAGTTAAGGATACGAAAAGATTGCCAAAATAGCAAGAATTCTGCTCAATAAAAATGTTAACCTTCACATGGGTTGTAACTTTACCAAGCTGATTTCATATTTCTTGTGACTAGGGGAACAAACATTGTAACCCTTAAACCCTTAGAACATTATCTACAAAAAATGCTGTTTGACGTACTTTATTTGTGATTTTTCCTTCTAGATTCAAAGAAAAACACCAGAAAGCTCCATGGAGTCACCAAAGAGCAAAGCAAGCCAAAGCGAGATAAAGCAGATTGTAATAAAATGACTCTTGGCAGGAAATTATCCAGAAGAAATGTTGTTTTTGTTTAAGGAGCTGAGGAAAAATTCGACAAAATTGTCTTGGATTAAAAGCGAACGACTAAGTCTTTTGACAGCAATTTTGTCTTCGATTACAAAAATTTGGTCCTTCAAAGTGATCAAAAAAGTCGACAAAAAACTGAAGTCTTTTGGCGGGAAAATTTTTCACGGTTAACGATATATTGCGCTTTTAACAGAGACCAAAAAATGTGGAAAAAAACTAAGTCTTTTGGCGGGAAAATTATCCTTAGAGAAAAAAGTCTGCGCTTTTGAATGGTGTCTGGTTTTGAGTCAAAAATATACAAGTCTTTTGGCGGGAAAAA